ATCAAAAAATTACAGAATCTCAACTCATATATTTGAAGTCTTATATGTATGCATTCCTGTTTCTTTTTGACGTAACAGCTCTTAAAATAGACCATAGATGGTTCTTCCCGAACCTTTTATCCCTTTTCTGTGCAGTTGCTTATAATTGAAGTGCAATAATAAAATATTCACTTCATTTAACTTACTTCGAATTAGTTTCAATCTCTTTTTAAAAGAAAAAAGATTAACCGGAAGAAATGAGTACTCATATATATGAAAGTCATCAAACCATCTTTGTTGCACAGTTTAGTAAGAGAGCTTTTATTAAGGAAATTTTAAGAAAGATACTCAAAGTTCTCTGATAAGTCAGAAAGTCTGATATTCATATATAAATCTTTCTATTAAAACCATCACCAAGTAAAGAGCCTAAATTATTAAGCAAAATAGATTGGCACTGTCCTTTCTTTTTAACTCTGATTAGTAAAATTCTAGTGACGAAGTGAAGATTCCCCTATATCCGTTGTCTGATACTTTAAACAAAAGTGTCTCTTATAAAAACTGATGTTAATGCCTAGATTTACCAAATGTTATTCAAATGAGATATAGTCAGAGGAAGAACTCCATTAAATCACAATTCACAAAATAAAATGTATGTATATATATCTAATATACACCTAAATATATGTCTTTAGGGCTCTGCTTTTGAAGAAAAGATTTTCTATAATCGCGGTGATCTATTAAAGGTTTGCAAAGAAGATGTTATAGACTATGTGATTAAAATATATACTTAGGAGAACTTAGGAGGATCATTCATACTTTATGACTGTAACGAACTAACGAACTGATAACATATGAACTCATCAATTTTACTAATATTGGTGAATTGTCTTTCATTTTTATGCCACTTTTTGCATTGATTAACATTTTGCCATCAAAATCAACACTGCAACAGTGCAAGACATGATAAATTTACAAAAGTTACAAAATTTAGCCACACTTCAGCAGCATCAACAACAACAACAGCAGCACCACTCTCAGCAAAAACAACACCTGCAACAACAAAACTCCACCAACAACGTAGATTCAGCGACAGCGGCTGCATTAGCAAGTCTTCAGGGATTAGCAGCGGGCATAACTGCCTCAGCTGCTGCCGCTTTGAACTCACCTCTAAATTTATCAGTGGGGTCTGGAATCAATTCAACTTTGCCCAACAGTTTGTGCTCGCCCACAACTGCAGCAGCAGCTGCTGCAGCCGCTGCAACATTATCCGCAACGAATGCTTTTGCGAACAATATCAATAGCAATAACAAAGTCATGTCTCATGCCAGTGGATCCCAAGATAATCCGGGCACTACATCACCAAATTCGCATGCCTCACACGCGGATAGACAAACGTCAGCACAAAGTACTTTGGCAAATGTGCTGAATTCAGCTGCAGCGGCAGCCGCAGCAGCGGGTGCAGCTGCTACAGCATCGCCTCCACCTACGCTCCAAGCACCACCGGCTAGCGCACAGATGCCGCAATTGATATTAGCATCCGGACAGTTGGTGCAAGGCGTGCAGGGTGCACAATTGCTGATACCCACAGCTCAAGGTAAGTTAAAAGGTTAAATGTGCTGGTACATGTAAATGTAAATGTGGACAGTTTTGGGTATTACTTTAGAGGGTATTAGTAAATATTTTGTGTGTGGCATATCAAGGGATTATGTTTGACAGGGCATAAAAGACAACGATGATTTGCATTAGTTTAAGTTTAAAGCAATGATGCTTTTGAAGTGTAAACAAATGCAGGGTTGTGGGATTCAATTAATTAAAATGTCGAAGCCAAATTATAAAACTAATCTTGTCTCCCTTTACAGGCATTGCTGTACAAACAATACTCACTATACCTGTTAGTCCGCAAATCAATACAAATGAGCAATTCATGCAGAACTTTGGTGCATTTGCTTCATTTCAACAGCAGCAACAACAACAACATCTACTGGCCGCTGCTCCTCAACTTCCACCGCCTTTGTCAGCTTTACAACATGCACCAACGTTGCCTCAACTCGCCCAAACACCAACGAATTTACTTAAGCCAAATCTGTTTTCGAATGGCGTTCAACAGTTGCTAGCAGCCCTACATCCCGAATTATTTGCGGCCGCTGCTGTTAACCATCATCACCAGCAACGGGAGCAGCAGCAACATCTTGGTCATCACACCCACCTAACCCATCACGCCCACACGACTGACTTACATTTAGGCACTCGCAGTTCCGAACGTACGCCACCTTCTTCGCCAACCAGTAGTACAAAAGCAGCGGCCGCTGCAGCAGCTGCTGCTGCCGCCTTCCACCTACAGCAGCAATTGCAAATCAAACAGGAATCAGTGCCACATCTCAGTCATCATCATGCTTTACAACATCATGCGTTACGTCATCCAGATGAGTTAGCTTCACCAAAAATGGATTGCAAAGGAACACTACAGCACAGTGATGGAAACGTATCTCCACCACCAACTTCCCGCCATCATTATTCATCAAGTAATCATCATCATCATCGCAACAATGCGATATCTTCACCTTCTCCCCGACCATCGTCCTCTTCATCCAGTTCTATGAATTTGCGTGATCGCGAATCACATCATAGTCTTAAACATAGTCCCAGTCGCAATGCTAATTCCAGCATTGGTGGTATGAATCTCAGTCAGCACAGCAGTGAAAGAGAACGTGAAAGGGATAGGGATAGAGAGCGTGAACGTGAACGTGAGCGTGCCGCACGTACCTCTTCACCAGTACAACTTAATTCAAACCAATCTCTGGGTAGCGGTAGAAACTCAACTTCCATTTCAGTATCATCATTAGCAACCGCAACCTCAGCATCAGTATCCGCTTCGTTATCTGCAGCTAGCAGTCAGCAGCACCACTCAAGCCAAGCAAGTCCCACAACATCTACAACAACCACAATACCCTTAACAAACTGCTCAGCAACAGCAACAAATCATGAAAGAGGTTATTCTTCACCATTGGGTGGTAGCAGTGGTACTGGTGCTGGACAATTGTTCCGCAGCCATTCACCAAATACTACACATTTGCATCACCATCAGCAGCAACAACATCTCTTGGGCTCACCGCACGAACGTGATTTTCTTGGCGGTAGCAACGGTTGTGGTACCTCAAGTCATGGTATTTCCGGAACTACAAATGCCACATCAACAGCAGCAGCCAATGTTTTGAATAGCATCAATAGGTGAGCCAGTAAAGAAATTCGTTTCGTGTGAAAGTTTTGCACACGCAAACTTTATTTGGCAAGGAAAGGTATAAGAAATTGTAGTTATTGGCAATAATTATTAAAGAAAATTTATTGCTGTTTTCCACCACAATTCCAATGCCTCACTTTTCGCATTGCTCCTTTAAAGTGTACCTATTACTTATACTTTGTTTATTAGCAGACTTACCGCCTCAAATGGGGAACTAACCATTACAAAATCACATGGACCACCTACAGCAACAGCAACACGCGCATCTTCTGCTTCACCTACTCTATTGGGACCCGCAGCACCACATGGTGGCCTGGGTAGTGGTGTGCACCTGCATCATCCCCATCATCCATTGCATCCACTAAAACTTAGTCCTACAACTAGCTCAGCTTTACAGCAAAGAGAACGTGAACGTGAGCGTGAACGTGAACGAGATAGAGAACGCGATCGGGAGCGAGAGCGAGAACGTGATATGGAACGTGAACCACCACAAATATCACCTAATGGCACAGAAAGCTCCACCGGTCCTCATGACTTGCTTATGGATTCTCCGAGTGAGTAAAGATCGTTTTTTCTACCTAAAAATTAATGCATGCGTATTTATTTGCTGTTATTTAATTTACTTAATTTTTTGCATAGAGGTTTTTCGAATAGTAGTGAACTACAACAACAAAATTTTATTTTTTATATTATTTTAATTAATTGAATTTTTGACTGACCATACAGCTGTTTCGAGTATTGCCAATAAAAATACCCATCAACAGTGGTCTTGAAAATAATTCTTGTATTTAATTATTCGCAAATAATTATTTTTTGAAACTGCAAAAAATTTTTTGTTTTATTATATAAAATATTTCTTTATTTTATTATTATAATTTGTATATTTTATTTAAAAACATTAACAATTTGTTTTTTTTTCTTTTGTTTCTGATATTAATTAGTACATTATTTTTGGCTATTAATTAAGTTTATCAAAAACGAATTTTCAGGTAAATTTTATCTGACATCTACTACTGTTATTCCATTATCTTTTTGGAAACTTATTTGATTAACTTTCCTTGCTTATGACAAAACTTCATTGCAAGTGGTCCACAGACTTGACCATTGTGGATGATTGACTCCTTTAGCTCTTTAAATCATTATACCATATTTCTATATGTAATTTACCTCAATTTAGTGTTAGCTTGAAATATTTCTAATAATTTATTTTTAATAGATATTTATATCCTACGTTTTATGCTGTGTTAGTCTTCATTCTTTGTAAAGAGAAATGGTTAAAGGGACCAATCCTGTTTTCTTTACATATCTTCGACTTTTCTACAAGTTTACTTAAAACTTATTCCAGTCATGCAAATATGAATTTAAGTCTAAACTGCCAACTGAACTCAATACCATCAAGAATACAAAACCCATATGCCGTAGTCATCATCCCATATTCAAGAAATGTGAGGTGAACTAAACTTCATGCAATTTTGCGACTTGAACTTTATTTGTACTGTCAATAAGTACAGAAGTCAAAAGTTGTTGTGCATATCCTTTTGAGAGAGAGTAACAGGATGCAAATAAAACGTAACAAACTAAACAAAGACGACAGGGAAATGTACCGGATAGATACAACGCTAATATGCAATTACACTTTTGGTAAATCCAAGTCAAGTGTGACAATAATCCTGCAGAATTCGGCTTGTCACTCTAATGCATTCACTGCATTTGCTCGAATCTCAAGTAACCTACGTAGAAGGTTTCTTAACACTCAATTTTGTTTAGAAATTATTTAAAGATTATTTCTGATGTATGAAAAGAACGCAGAAATAATGAAGTCACATGTTTAGGATAGAAACGTAGGAGTAGTACGGAGGGAGGGGCAACCTTCGCAACATAAAATATATCCTTACAGCTTTGGTTTCTCTTATGTGCTGCAACCTCATCAATTATGAATTCCTTACAAAAGCACATCCAAAACTTTGGCAGCACAAAAGTCAATCAGTAGAATTTTTCTTAGTTAAATTGGATTTGCTCAGAAAAGTTAGCAATTTTCACATTTAAACCAACTTTGCAGGCAGGTAAAATTTCCGAAAACTGCAGAAAATTCATAGGAAATATACGAAAATATACGAAAATCTTAATTAACACTGAAAGTTACTTTAAATGCGTAACTTTAGAGTTTCTTTGCTTTTGTCCTGTCAACCTGTAGAGACTAGAAGTAAGTCAATATTCAAGGAGATGTAAAATAATCGTTGAAGACATATTTTTGAGAAATAATAATATTTATCCCAATCAGGATTGTTGTGAAAGTCAGGATTGTTGATAAATATGAAAAACGAAATAACAAATTCTGTGTGAAAATTTAGTATAAAATGAAATGAGTTCAATCTAATCTCTAAAAGTAAACGACTTAAAAATAACTTGAAAAGAATTCAGATCAAAATAACTACTACGAATAAGATGCGTCGAGTAGAATTATTACCTATTTATTCCACCTCTTTTAACTGCTACTGTAATTAAAGTGCATCCTTGTTCTACCTTCCTACACTTCTTCAGATTTAATTTCATTAACACCGAATCGTTCCAAATATGTCCTCATCCCATCAAATCGTCAAAGTCAGGGACATTTATTATTCTCTTTCAATCTGTATTTTCACAACTGTACCAACGATTAAGCGGTCAGTCTTTTTAAGGCCACACTATATAAACTTGAATTTACATAATAACTCACTGATTGGACCTCATCAGCACGATTTTAGACCAAGTCACTTTACAATAAGCCAGATTAGCTTATTCTTAAAACACTTTCACAAACTAGATACACTATTCCCTTATCAATTATAAGTTATCATATGATAACCCCATAAATGATCGTGTTCACATCTCAATATTTAAGATAACTTTAAGTACTACTAGTTTTGCCAACGTAAATCAAATTTTTCCAAATATTTTATTACCAAAAATATCTCTAATTATTAAAATTTATATAACCTGATTCCTTCTTCTACGATCAGTGCAATTTTTGTACGAAAGTGATAATGCGTAGAACCAAGTACGCTATCAAAAAACAATGTAGCAATACTGACAACCTTTAAAAGAAATATTCTTTGGTCTCTTACGAATGCACGTGGACTACAGTATTCGATCTAACCATAAGTGCGATGTTTATCACGACATTGGCATTATTTAGTGAATAAATATTCTACGGTTTCACAGCCTTAGTTATACTGTCAGGTTATTTGAAGCAGCAGTCGGAGAAAGTAGTCAAAGCTATCGGAACACTAACCATATATAAAATACATAACTAAGTAGGGCATGTTCGAAGCAAAAGTATTTCAAAAGGACAATTACTGAGGAATGAAACTCGTTAACGGATTCTTCATCCAATTTAGTAAGAACAAAGAATATTTATCGCTTGATTGTAATGATTTGGATTTTTGTTTAGAGGGCTATATCTTATAACAAACCCTGATCCTCAGCATTATTCAGTACTAACTTGTTTATATTTTATGGGAACGACTCTGCTGTATTGTCCATACTACACTTCTATGGATAAATATTGGGCGAATAATTGTCTTTTATATATTCATATTTTCAATTCTGTGAATACGACTTATGAATCAGTATCGCATGTCCCCTTTATAATTCAGATTCTTCATTTTGAATATTTCTGTGGATATATTTAATATCTGGATTCATTACTTTTGTAAATGATGTTTAATATTTTTGTGTTTTCAATTCAATTTTCCGATTGTGGCTTCAGTTTACTACATTCCTTAAAAATCGAAAATATTGGATTGTGGATTCTAAAATCATTCCAATGTTATTTTCTGCATCATTGAGTTGTAGTTATTTTGATCTTATGTGGATTAATGGATTCAGTAGCTAAATATCACTCCTTTAACATTAAAAACTCACTTCAAAACCGCTTAGTTGTGATATGACTTCCCATTATGTTGTCATTCTATTGCTACATAATTATTTACAATTTCTGTCCAAACTTAGTATCCAATACCAATATGAACTCTTGCTATTCTCAAAACTTAAATGCATATATTTCCAAGGGAAGGTCAGATAAATTTCATTAAATATTTTTAAAATTTTGTTAAAAATACAAAACAAAATCCTAAAACCCATGTACTACCTCTTCAAAATGGTAATACTGCAAGGAGTGGTAATCATTCGTTGCTGAGATTCTGGTTGCTATGAGGATTTTAATGAAGGGCCAAATTATCACTGCAATAAACAAATACGTCTTTACGTCAAGCCAAATACACATCAGAAAATATCAAATTAATTGAGAAATGTGGAATATTTTAATTTGATTTGAGTATGCAAATCGAGGTTCACCAGGATGTGGAAAATATCGTATACATTTCATTGATTAATGCAATAATGGAAGTAAAGCAACCATTCCACATTTATTCATATGTGTTTAATACTGTTTGCTAAGATGCATTAAAAATCTATTCAAATCAACTTAACTACATGCTCCGCAGTGCAGCACTTAAAGAAAATCTTGTCTGTCTGTCAGTCTTCCGTGCTGTCGTTGTAGGGCTTAATTACTCCTAATTGACATGTGCAAAACTTAAGTTGTTTTTATTATTTTTCTTATTGCGTTTAATGACATATTTCACTTCGTAAGTATCAAAAGCTTAAGTTACAAGTTGTACCGCAGCGCGGAATACATGCCACCGCCAGCCGCCTGCCGCGTCGTGTCCCCAGCCAAGAGGAGGAACGTGTAATAAAGCGTGTAGCTTAATTACAGCACAAACAATGCAAGCAGCAAGAAATTTGCACAGCTTGGCAAGGACGACACCGTCACAACGTCTACTCTCGATGATGACAATCTGATGCTTTGCATATCATTAATAAATAAATCAAAAATTTCTATCTTAACAGCAGCAGCAGCAACAACTCAGATAACAACAACAAAATGCAGCAAATTAAGTAGTTGGAAGAGAAAGAGTTGTTGGCACTGCACCGAAGGCACTGAAGGATAACAAATGCGGATCTTCCTAACAGCCACTAAATGTATGATGAAAGCGATGAAAGCGATGAAAGCTTATCTCGAATAATAGGGAAGTAACTTTTAGACTAGCGCCGCGGTACGAATTTGCATTGTTAATTGTTTATCTACGCTTTTTACAAACGATGTAGTTTGTACTATAAGGCATCCAAATGGATTGGTTTTGGATCCTTCATACCCCACAGTTTGGCTGTATTTAAATAAAAATTTTAAAACTTTTCTTTAAAAGTGAGTATACGGGTATGTATGTGTATGTGCACTAAACAATATGAGTTCTTCTCGTCTTGCATCAATTATTCAATCAACATGGTAGGATTCCCTGCTCAGAGCGAGCAGTGCGGCAGGAAGTGCCACATTCACCTGCAACCTCACTAATAACATTATCATTACTCACGTACTCATGTACTCCTTGAAACGGTTTAACGCAAATAATATTTTATATTACCTCAATTACCTTTAATTACGCGGCGGCAGCAGCTGCAATTAATTTCGTCATTTGCGATGACTTATTTCCTGGTCCTTGTGGATGACGCTGTTATACTAATTTCCTGGTGAGGAAATGAAGTGCATCATGTACATACAATATTATGACTAAGGAATGAATTTCTGCAGGACTAAGGATGCTTTGAATTCTTAAGTCCATAATCATTTTTTTCTGTTTATTTCGATTTGGTTGATTGAATAAATAATGAGATTTGTAGACTATGGGACCATAAATTTAGAATTTCGATGATATTTCCTGTGTAGGTGCCGTAATATAGAAAAATTATAGAAAACAAAGTTTTTCTCATATGATTGCTAAAGGAACAGGATAAAGAATTTTGGAGCCCTTTTATTTGTCTGTTGATTTTTACATCAGGTTAAAATGCCAAAAATTCATTAAAATTGTATACATATATAGTGAGTAATATGACTTAATAAAACTGGAACCCACTTGAGTCTACGAGAAAATTTTCAGCAAAAGATCGATTAAAGCAAAACTTAGTAGGTTGAACGTTAGTAACAAAACTTGTAAAAATCATTTGAAGAAGCTGCGTCACTCTACACATAAAAATAACTAAAAGTCTTAGCGCTGACTAACTGCACTAAAAATTATATAACATATTTATATAAAAAAGTGTTGTTTGCAGCACTAACATATAATATGGATGAATAATTTCAGAAAAGTGCCAAGTGCAGCACTAAATATACGAAAGCAAACAATAATATCATAAAAAAAATCTTTGAATGGTCTCTGTATAAGTGTTGCCAATCTTAAAGAACTTAATT